ATCCGCGCGCGGGCGCACTGGTGCGCCTCGCGGCCTTGAAAACGAGCTCCTGTCATGTTGCGCCATCTCACGGCGTTTGTCGGAAACGGGAGCGAACCTTCGACACACTCCCTCCGTCCCGAGGCGGTGCCGTTCAGACGCCCCTATCTCCTTCCACCACGGACCGGGGTGTAGTTTCCAGCCATGTCGCGGCAATGGCGTGTAGGGAGGCGGCACAAACACGTCTCTGTTCGTTATGAATAGGGCTGAGTGCTGCCTTGACGCAGGTGCTCGTTTTTTTCTTCCTTTAAATTCGGTTACTATTCAAATGGAGTTGTTATGGGGGGGGGAAAGCGGCCCGGGTACAAACATATGCCGAGCCGTGGCTTCTCTTTCGGGATTACGTACGCGCGTGTGTGCCCACATTCGAAGAGCGCTTCCAACTGCTCGATCCGGGGGGGTCACGTGTTTTATGGATTGCGCTTGTAATACGAGCTGCGAGGATGTGATTGAAAAGCGTAGATCGTCCGAAAGCATTTCCGCCTCTCCGTCCGCTTTTCCCCTCGCCACGCGAGACAAGGCAACGCATGCGCAGTTGCGACCTATCGTCGCAGGACGCGTCCGCCATTAAACTGCAAATGCTATTTTTGTGGCTCGAATCGCTCCCTCTCTCTTCAATCTAGGCTCTCTATGCGTGTGCCGTATACATTAGGAGCGTTCGTATTGATTTTTAAAAGGCAAATAAGGTTGTTTCTGCTGCGTGGGACGGCACAGAAAGCCCCGAAGCCCTTTCCAGCGAGGGACCATGGCCAAAGTAATCCGCAAGTACTGTCTTTCCTCGCGCTTATTTGTCGTTTTGGTTTGTTTGTTTGTTTTCGGGTGGAACAAAGTTAAAAGAAAAGAGGAAATGTGTAGCAGTAATGGGATCCGTGAAAGGGGAAGTTTGGCGGGGGAAAGGAGGATCACAGCTTCGCTTTCTGCCAAACAGAAATGAGGATTAAGGGGCAGAGATCCCGAATGCAGAGAGACGCGTAACACAATTTATGAGCCAGCTATAACTCCTTTTCAACTAGGGAAATTTCGCGAACCTGCGGGGGTTCGATTTCGATCAGGTTCGGTTCTTTCGAACTTTTAATTCGCAAGGGACGAAAGAAGTTCGACTCAAGTTGGACTTCTTCTGCGCATGCCCCGAAATTGGGAACGAGCTGGCGCCACCTGACGGGTAACCAACGAAACGCCCCCGATGAATCCGAGCCTGCGTCAGCGTGCCTTCCGTGTGCCCTACCGACAAGAAAGTATATTTTCTCGATGGTTCTACCTAATCTTCTTGTCGGGCGGTGTATTGTGTACTGTTACTTCTATTTTGTTTGCGTCTGCGCGTGGGTGCGTAATCACGTAAGAGATATTGTACACGTTGTGAAAGTTCGTCTGCTCTTTTTGTGCACCTCATGCGTTTTTCGCCACGCATTTACATACATAAAGGCCGTACTCATTCCGGGACGGATTCATGGGTCAGGTTTATGATGGAGAGGGCGGTGGGTATTTGGTTTGGGGGAAAGGGGGGGGGGAGGGGGGGGTCTGCAAAAAGGGTATAACACCGCGGAGATATTTATTGTTAAGGACGTAGATAACTGCCTCTCCATCTAAACAAACTGGTTCTTGCACGCTAGGGAAATGTAAAGGGGGCGGAGGAAACGTCCCCCCCCTCCCCCCCTTCTTCTCTTTTACTTTCTTTCAACGTTCTGTCAGAGAAATTTCGAGATAACGACGCAAGCCAGGCTTCGCCGCACTGAGAGGCTTCCTGCGGCGAAAACAACCTACAGGAAAAGACTCCTGGGCCAGCGGATGAAGGCACAACGAAGAACCCTTCAGCCAACGTTGCTTTTTTTCGATGAGCGTCCTTAGAAAGATGCACAAACCGATATATATATATATATATATATATATATATATATATATATATATATATTTGCCTTTTCGAAAGGCTCTTTTTATTCGCATAATGTCTTTATTAACTTTGCAAGCCTCGAAAGAAATATGGCGTCAAAGGGCACCGTCGCGACTCTGGTAAAAAAGAACTGCTGCTGAAGCACCCCCTCTAAATATGACGGCCTGAACTTGACTGCTTCGCCATCGCGCGCTCCCAAGGCGTTATTCATGTTGCCCTCTATGGCATACCACCTCCATGCGTTTTGATGCGCCTAAAACGTATTTTGAAGCCAAATCGCTCCTGCAAAAACTACGCGTCGCACAAAAAAAAAAAAAAAAGAAAAAAAAAAGGTTGATGACCGAGTGGTTTTAAAGGGCCCATTAACGAAAAGTATTGGCGTGCAGTACAATTGGGTAATTACAGTAATTAAATTTTAATTCTTAATTTTAGAAGTACGGTATCAGTGCGGAGGGCAAGTTTGTCTGCTTCCTGCGCAGAGGCTTACGCTGATGTCAGAAAGAGGCCGGGCTCTGATTGGCTCCGATGAAGGGATAGTGGATAGACCTCAAGGGAGCTAGCATTGAGGTCTACCCACTATCCCTTCATCCTTTCCCCCACTCTCCTTCCAATATCCTTCCGATCGAAGCCAGAGTTCGGCGTTCCGAGGTCACAGCAACCCCTGCTCAAGATAGCAGACGAACTTGCACTCCGCGTTAAAAACGCGATGCGAACAATCGAAAACGACTAAATCCACCCAGATTAGAATCATGTAAGTCACGCGCATCATTTTACGGCGTCCCGAAAAAGAAAAAGAAAAGGCGCAATTCGGAAGCGGGTCAGAGTTTTGGTTTCTTATCGGAACGCACCTATCGTAGCCAGCAGGCACCAGTGTGAGGACATATCTTGTACGTGAGATGCGTGGCGGCACACGCACGTTGCGCGTCTTGGCCACGGGGAGGGCGGCGTTGCTGGAGCGGAAACATGCTAAGCTTAAAGAGTAAAACAAAATGGCTAGGTGGCGTAAGCTATCGCCCGATTCAAAGGGCGTAGCCGGATTCATCCATCCATCCAAACATAAGCTGCGATAAAGGACCGAAAACTGGAAACGCGTCCAAACTGAGCAATATTTTTTCGGAACGCCATAAAATGCTTCGCGTGCCTCATAATCATTGTCATGTGCGGGCATGTAGCAGTTTTTGATGATTCGCATCAAGATGGAAACCGTACCTTTAACGTTAACAGGTAAAAACTAATTACTAAAATTAATAATTTATCCAGTTATATCGAACGCTAACAAGTTTCCTTAACGGGCCCTTTGGCACAGAGCACTACATCAACCATTTTTCCTGACTTGGCCCGCGTTTCCAGAAACACTCCGTATATTATTTGGACTGACGTTGCAATAAAACTCAATATTAAGTTCGCCCCAATTGTTGTGCGTGTACTTGCCGTTTTTTTTTTTTGGTTTTGTTTTTTTTCTAAAAGTTTTCTGTTTCTTTTTTGTTGTTTCTTAGGTGCACCGTGGCTGCTTGTAGATTCGTTATGCATAGATAATGGAGTTCGGACTGTGAGAACGGCAGAGCGAGTCTCTGGAACGGCCAAAATCCAGCACGCATTGCGTGGCATTGCTCCATGCCACGCTTTGGCTAAGCGCGCGTGTTCAAGGGTTCGAGACGCCGAATCGTTGCCCAAGGTAGGAGGAAGCTTGCGCTGGAGGCGAGGCAACTGGGGCTATAGACGCTTTCAGGCATCTGTGCATGGGCGCCGCCATAACCGACCTTCAGTTTGTGTTCCCTCTTATTCCGTTCGCTCCACTTCATCATTACCACAACAGGACAGGTTATTGTCATTTTAAGTGGTACTGTGTCCTTCTCGCCAGCATAGGCCCTTGTGGAGACTCGTCAACGGCCGCTTCAGTGGCTCGGCATCTCGGTAAGACAAGAGGTCGGCTATGGCGGCTCAATCTGGCGCGCGCTGAAAGCGTCTATACTCTGTTTCACCTTGTGTTGTACCGCAGGAAAGGCTACAAGCGCGAGCTCCTTGCTCTATGGCACACCTCGGCGGCACAAGCTCTCGTGCACCAAGGGCAGCTGCCAACGCTATGAGCTCGCGCTTCTAGCCTTCGCTGCGGTATTACATAAGGTGAAACGGAGTATAGTCACTGCCACTCTCACCCCGATTCTCTATTCAAGTCGCTTTGCGCTCAGTCGGCTGTGGTGAGAAACAACACCGAAAAATCGCGCGCCGTTTTCCGTTCGATCAAATGGCTTTTCGGCGAGGGAAATGCTGCTGCCATCTGTCGGCTGCTGCACCAATTAAAGTGCGCCGCGCTTATACTCCGTTTCACCTTATGTCGTACCGCAGCGAAGGCTAGAAGCGCGAGCCCACAGCGTTGGCAGCTGCCCTCAATGCACGAGAGCCTGTGCCGCCGTTATCTGCCCCATAGCAGGGAGTACGCTTGTAGGCTTTCCTGCGGTACATCATAAGGTGAAATAGAGTATAGTCGGATACCGCTAACGTTGGATGCCGTTTTTCCTTTTCCCTTCACCCCAAATAAAGCAAAGCTAGAAAAAAAATTAATGACTTCCTGTCCTTTTTTTTTTTATTGTTTATTCAGGCACGCTTATCTACCTTCTGCAAACATACCAAAAGGGCGCGCGCAACGAATTGTGGGAACGTGGTCCTGTGTGCTCCAGTCTTCATTCGATTTACCTGCACTTCTGCACCGCTGCAGGAGGTGCAGGTAAATTGAACGAAGCCATTAAATCAGTTTTGATATCCTAATGATTTTTCGGCGGCTACCAGTCACCTAGAGAGCACGAGTTGCTCTCCATTTCAGGTGGAAGCCAATTTATTTTTATATAAACCACACAATTTAATTACGACTTTGGAATATGCAAATAAAATACGGAGCATTGCATCACCAGACTAACTGTTTGGAGGGTGAGAAGTCGGCAGCGGCAGGCACTGGAGATATGGCAGCGCCAGTTCACACCGTAGATGAGAGTCAGAGCACTATGAAAGTAATTTCTCATCTACAGCACGGATCCGTGTCACCGCCCAAAAAATGCAATAATCAAACACAGAAGCATATTAAAAAAAAGCTTTTATTGTAGCCTTAAAGATAGTCGAGACGAAAAAAAAAAAAAGGAGACTATATCACTACTGGCCCTCAGGCAGAACGGAGATGTCCTTCAAAGTGCGAATGCCATTCTTGTCCACCACCTGAACCTTGAATGCTGGCAGGTTGACCAAGAACCGCTTCTGAACCTCGAAAACACACTTCTTGAGGAGGTCCACAGCTTCCTCCTCATTCATGTCTGCAAAAGAAAAAAATAAATAAAGCGGTCAACTCCAAACGTTGCTTGTACACGGAACACCAAAAGTTATCACGGGCTCTTAAACAGTTCTAAGGATCCTAGGGACTCCTGGGCTCCCAAATGTCCTCGGTCGTCATCCAGTTTAAGCGCTATTTTAGAGGATCTAAGTCATTCATTGATCCACGACTGTGCCAGACATTCCTTAGTATGTACACTGTGCAACACTGCTAGAGTGAAAGAGCCAAAGCCTTTTTTGTTTTTTCTCAATACTGAAGTGTCATTAAAACTGCAATAGCAGTGGAAAGCGTTTGTAAGATTTTGGATGCCCACCAGTACCTTTTCGAAGGCATGTTCACACCAACGGTGTCTTGTACTTTACAGCATGTAATCTAACGATTTTAATAAGGCACTCTAGACGGCCCGCAAAAATCGGTTTCTCGGCGTATCGCGTTGCGATTTACTAGATAGTGGAAGTTTACAGCGAAAAAATTAAAAAATGAAGTTACCTCGTTTCAAAGAAAGAAAATAAAAAGGAAATACAGAAACCTGGGGCAATCTACGCCACCACTTTGCAGCCGCTGCATGCTTAGGGATAAGTGCTGCCGACAGATGGTGTACGCCGCAACGAGGGACTGAAGCGCTGGATAGATTTAATTAAGTTTCAAAGTACAGCCAAGCTGGTGCATGCTGGGACGCACTTGAGCCAAAAAAGGCAGAGTGTAGCCGCTAATGTAGTGTAGCCGCTAATGTAGTGTAGCCGCTAATGTAGTGTAGCTGCTAATGTAGTGTAGCCGCTAAAGTAGGATGGTGACGTGGCGTCGCCATCTATCTGTAGATCAATAGGAGTGTGCTCGCAAACTGCAGCGCGTAACCGGCAGCCACAACAGACCTATAAAAGCATGCGTGTCTGGCTGTGGGATATGTCACGAGCCAAAAATGGCGACAGATCGCCGGCATCCAGTAGGAGCACCCGCAGCACGATCAAACAATGGCGGTACTTGGAGAAGTCAGGATATCCAGCTCTTTACGAGGGTGGCCGGACGATTCGGGTTATGATAGCAGACGATCCCACAAAAGAACCCAAATCAGCAGGGGCTTCCCCCTTGACGCGGCATACGCCATATGCAGGCAGCACTTATCCCTACGCATGCAGTGAAGTTCATTCCTTGAGTTTTTTTTTTCAGTGGAAACTTCCCCCACCTGCTTGCACCGCTGTCGTAATTGCAGCGCGATACATCGAGAAATTGAACTCTGCGGGCCGTCTAAAGTGCCTTAAAAGCCTTAGCTTACATACTGTACACTCAGCATCAAACCCATCAAGAGCGCGGGAGCGCTCTAGACAGGTATGTCTGGTGACAGACACTGGGTCCGAAATAGCATGCCTCTGAGCATGCGGCGCGATTGTGCAGTGGTAGGCAGGTGCCAATGTTTGTGCTGACCCATTTGCAAACTCCACCAAGCGCCAGAGGAGCGCTTAGTGCCTCTAGGCTGTGAAATCAAGGTGCTCGGCGTGGCGGCCCGTGTGCCGCCGGCTAAGCATTATCGCGTGTTCTTCCGAGAGAAATTTAGTCACTGAATTCACGCGAAACCACTCCTGGCATGCGGGGGTAGCTACGCATGTTCTTGTTGGCGTGTAATGCTTCCTCACCGCTACTAATTCCCCCCAAGTGCTTGCAATCTCTGCACTCTCGATATTTCACAATGAGAACACAACCGCAGCTTGCGATTCCACGGCAATGAAGATGGATCGGATACTAAAATTACTCCGTTCCTTAAAAGGCCCCTGAAAAGAAAAAATAATGTTTTTAACAGTCTGGTTGGGACACGCGTGTCAAAAAATTAATTTTACGGAAAACAATTTTTTTTTTTTTTTCAGAGCAGTCACGTATTCTGATGGTCATTCCGGGATGACCCGTGACATCATGAACTTCGCGTGCAGAATTTCAAATAAATTTCTCGATGTCAATATTGCTTTAAAAAAAGTTTTGCGTCAAATTTATTTTTTGACATGCGTGTCCCAACCAGACTGTTAAAAAAATGTCCTTTTCTTTTCAGGCATTTTTTTTTAAAGAAACACTCTACCTAGGAAAAAAAAAATTTTATACCTAGATAGGACATCAAAGTCTCAAAATAAAAGTTAGTAATAAAAAAAAAATTTGTTTGCCCAATATTTAGGTTACAATGCAAATTTTTAGATTTGAAGGCAAAATCAAAACTCTACCCCTGTGGGATGATGATAATAGAGTTTGTACCCAGCTTGCGTGCACTCCGAGTTCACTCGGCCTCAGTGCGCACACAAGTTGGGTACAAACACTATCATCATCATCCCACAGAGGTACAGTTTCGGTTTCACCCGCAAATCGAAAAATTTGTATTGTAGAGTAAATATTGGGTAAAAAAAAAAAAATTTGGCTTTACAGCGCAGCTCTTAGGCACCCGTGTCCGGTTTGAGCAACGTCACCGTAACCACGCGGTGAATTATGGGACGCATGACGTCACTGATGACGTCGTCATGTGACCCCGGTGACGTCACATGACCCCCGTGAGGTCACATGACCCTCGTGAGGCAACGCCGCTCAGAGGGAGGAATAGCAGACAGGATGAGGAGGGACGAGGGGTTTACTCTCCCCTCAGGGGTGTATCTCGAAACAACCCATTCTGATTTAAACCTTTCTCGTTTGAACCCATTCGCAAAACGCCCTCCGTGTTTTAACCTTTCTCGTTTCAACCCTTGCTCATTTACACCCGTCCCTTTTGAACCCACTCTGATTTGAACTCTTCTCGTTTGAACCCATTCATAAAACGCACTTCACGTTTTAACTTTTCACGTTTCAACCCTTTCTCATTTGAACCCGTTCTCGTTTGAACACCGTAGTTGAACAATGTGCTCAAAACAAAGGGCAGTGAGGTATAAAAAGGAGGAACAGTGGAGGATGAAGGTTGAGATGAAGCGAAGGTGGCACATAGATACTGCAAAGTGGCTCCCTCTCGTGTATAGCACATAAAAATTTTTCTTATGCCTGCGTGCCGCCCCGAGTCTGTTGGCGTAGCTACCTGGTCACATGGCGGCATAGTTTCAAAAGCGCTAGCGCAGTTTCGGTACTTCATTTCTCCTCTGGTGCTCTTGATGTTGTTAAGTTGTCGTGTGGAGCGGATAGATCGTTGTGCTTGTTGTGTGTTATTGCTTGTAAGCACCGCAGAAAAATTCCAAGATCATGATGTTGGATTAATTCAGGTTCGGTGGTCTCGTCGAGAATACGAGTATTCTTGCATACGAGCATGTCTACGCTGGGTGCTCTTCATTGCTCTAATGCAGGGGGGGGTGCACGCCATGACGTGTTGGGATCCAGACAAGCGTTGGGAGCTGTGGCGTTTTCTTCGAAATGTGCGGGTGCGGACGTTGCGTGGCTTGAGGGCTTTCTTACCTGGCACAGTATTTTTTTCTTCATTTCAGTCGAGAATCATCGGATGCAAATTATGCTCATCTGATATGCCCTGTGCGGATATTCAATTATTTACAACCGGTGTCGCAGTGGTCGTACAGATCTACGATTACTGTATATTTGTCTATGTGTCGTCCGTCATGCCATATTTTGGCATGACCTCTAGTTATCATTCTCCAAGATGCATTTCAAGGAACAATAAAGCTTCAGGTGCCTGGACTTCATAATGTCATTGGTTCCTTTATTCCGGTTTCCCGTGAGTGTATGCTGAAACTATTGCTTTTCCGTAGCCTGATCATGTACAGGGTTAAAATCAGAAAAGTCGTTTGGAGTATGGTCAGAACAATAAAGTATGGTTTCGCTAAGTTTGAAATGAGTAAAATTAAAATGAGAAAAGTCATTTTGAGAATAGTCAAAACCAAGAAGTATGTTTTGAGATAGCTTGAAAGGAGAAGTTAAAACGAGAAAAGTCATTTTGAGAATGGTCAAAACCTGAAAGTTTGTTTTGAGAACGGTTTAAGTGAGAAAGGGAGAAAAGCGAAAGTTGTTTTGCGCTGGGTTGAAATGAGAAGGAGAAAACAAGAATGTAGAAATGCGAACGGGTTCAAATGAGAACCCCCCCCCCCCCTCAGTACCCTCCCCTCCTCCCCCTCAAGAGCTGCGCTCTAATTCGGCGTTATGGCTTTCATTCTTTTGACAAACATTTATTTTGAGACATGCCAGGACATGCCAGTCCTAACCAGGTAGGAAAAAAAAATGTATTTCCCCTAGGTTTATTGTAATATCTCAGGTCATCGCCCACCGCCCTGCCTCCTGAAATTCATAAAAAGTGGGATGGGCAATGTCTCGGAGGTGAAGCACAGAAAGCTTAGAAAAAGCTAAAAAAAAATGCACCTTTTTTTGCACATACCTAGCATGGCTGCACAAGAGATGCATTAAACTCAAAACTCAAATTGGTTTCGTTGTTTCATGCAAGAAATTCTCATGAAAGAATGCTTTACTATGGCAAAGTCCATTCCTTGCATACGTATGATGAACATTGTCGATCGGCATACAGCGTGAATGTTTGTTCCGTGAAAGCACGCTTCTAACGCCGCTATACTCTCATTCTTAGATTTTAAAAAAAGTCCCCAAGAAAATAAAAAAACCAACCAGGCGCAAAGAGCGAGCGAACGGGCGAAAGAAGCGACAAAGAGTTATGCTGGGGGAAGCGGGAAAGTTGGTGATCGTGTTGGCAAATACTTTGGCGTTGGGCCAAGTTGTGTGTTTTGTCAATCACAAGGAGTAGGCTCTTGTGCAACTTTCTTGTTTGGTGGATACACGTGTGCGTCCATTCGCGACATGCTATCAACGCGGGTCTAGGCGGCATTGCTGCATGGCGTGGACAGCATCAGGAACACAGAGTTTGAAATGGGACACTTCACAAACGTCTCTGTGCGGCATTCCAGAAAATCTTCATTTACATGTTGGCTTTGTCTCAAACATTGTACAACCGTACCAACTGCAGTCGCGACGTTCTGGGGAAGCGGGTTCGTGGTGACCTTATTTCGGTGGAGACGAACTTCGACCTAACACTCCGTGATTACATTCTAGAATATAGGGTGTTTGCTGACCTTGCCATCCCTGAATGGGTTACTGCTTGTGTTTTCTTTCAAACTATTTTTTTTTTTGGTCCCAATGAACTTTGTAAGCAAAACAAAGTTTTTGTCTATTATCCTTCATCGCTTTCCTTTCGCCCGCATGACCTCAGACTTCAGGGTCGCAGAAATCGGGAAGGAAATGCGTAAACAAAACGAAGTGTCTCTCCCTCCTCCGTTTTACTTTTTCACGGACATCCTCCAAGCGTAAGGTCCGCAGCCGCTTCACTCGGTTAGAATGAATCTTCGCGAATTATGGAGTCAGTGTTAGTGTATTTGTAGGGGTGGGTGATCACTCTGCGTTTTTTTTTTTTAAATCAATATTTGCCCTTGGGGATGGTGATGACTCAGGACATTACGGTAGTGTTCTTTTAAAGCTTCCTGCCCCTTGTGCCAGAACCACCAAGCTCATAACGATACTACCGATTTAATATTTGATGTCTGAAGGAATCTCTAAATATATAGCTTGTCACAAGACGCTTGGGTTTTCTTGCAAATATTTTAATTCAGTTGCCTTCGATTTAGAGCAAGAATTAAAAAAGTGTGATGTATGAAAAATCTCAAAACAAAATAATTTCAAGTGTTCATGCTGAAGCACGTGACGTGGCACGTAGACTCAGCAGCGGATAGGACCGCCTTGAGCCGCCTTCAGGCTCGCGATCCTCGACACAAACAAGTACTCGAGTTCAGCGGCTAAATTCCTCTCAAAAGAAAGCGAGACAATGAGGAGGCGGCTGCGCATGGGCCGCCATTTTGATTTTGCAGCCTGGAAGCAGTTGGCAGAGTCTGCAGAAGGGTCAGCACAAATGTTGGCATGCATGCACAGAGGCGCGCTATCTCAAGCCTCTGATGTCGCACGCGCAGTCCGGAGTACACCGCTCCCACGCTCTATACAGGTTTGGCGCCGAGTGCGCATTATGGCTACAAGGTCTGTAGGCTCCTGCATCGCTCTGTCGGGTGTTTCTACGTCAGTTTTTTACAATGACTGTCCTTATCATATTTTCGATATTTCTGTAATAAATACATGTGAAAACCATGTTCTTGGGGGAACAGTCAATATGTGAATGCCGTAGCGGAATTTTTCCCAGAGATATAAAATTGGGAACCTTGAGGCGTGAACATTGCCGAGATTTCGGTATGGTAATTTGCACAGCCGCCAATGCACACCCAGTAATAACAACAACAGTATGAATGGCATGTTGCCTTGCAACTCAAGCGCGCAGACAAGGAAAGTCAGTCACTGCATAACCAAACGAGAGTAGTCGTATCTGGGGGGTCGCTATATGAATGTTCAACATTGTTAGGTGGAAAACAAACAAGATCGGCTTACCATTTCAAAGTATCGACGTGTAACGTAACGTACAAGGAATACAGATAGAAGTTGGTAACTACAAGGATGTTTTTTTTCTGTTTTGGTTTCACCACGCTAACCAAATATTTGGAGCCTGGAGAGAGACATTCAGAAACTCTCACGTTAGCATTTGGAGAGAATTGTGTCAAAGACTTCCCTCACTTTGTTTACACAGTGACTGCCCTTCCTTGTGTGCATGCTTGAGTTTCAAGGCAATCTTCTATTCACACTGTTCGCAACTGCCTGCACGCAAGCGAGCTGGTTGGGAAACAGCATAATATGACACCCTGAGATTAGTCGGTTGGTCAGTCCTTGTAGTCTTGGCGGAGATTACTTTTGCCGGTGCTCGGTGGCGGACGCTTGTTGCCGGAGGTGTGTCTAGTGTTGTAGGGATTTAGCCTGTCAAGCCATGTCTGGTTGTTGTAGGGATTTAGCCTGTCAAGCCATGTCTTGATCTTTTGTTGTTTTTGGTCTGGTGGAATAAACTCAGCTGTTCTTGAAATTTTGTGTTGCGTTGTCCGTTTCTTTATTCTTCCTAGTCCCATGGTTTTAAGTTATGACGACTTTCTACACTCTGCAATAGAGCAGCACCGCTGAACACACTTTCTCGGTTCTAGAGAATATCTCTTTGGAGCCAAAGTCATGCGGCAAAGCCCCTATAACGGAGACGACCTAGCTCAATTTGAGCGAAGGTTTGTTGTTGCTTTTCTTGATTTGAGGTCGTATGCTACTTAATATTTTGTCATCACAAGTTAGTACAAGTTACTTTAAAAAATTAAGGAGAATTAAAAAAAAATAGATGGGAGTTTTTTAAATTTGATGAGCAATTTTGCTACTTTTAAAGAAATTATTTTTTGCATTAATAACAGAACTACAATGACGGCTAAGCAAATATTTTTACATATTCGTAAGCTGTATTTCAAGATGCACATTCTGGTATATTTGGCGTCGTTTTGCATAAAATTGTGTTGGTAAATAATTTGTGAAAGGGTCTCAGAATTTTTTTATGTGCTCCGTAATTTTTTGAAACCAATATATATCAATGTAATTTTTAATATTTGGCATGCATGTTGTAAATTGTCAATAAAATAAATGAACATTTTTTTTAACTACGTGCCTGCTTTGTGTGTCTGTGCTAATTACCATAGTGAAATCTGGGCAATGCACACGCATCGAGCGTCTCAATTTTCGATCTCTGGGAAACATTTAGCTACGGCATTCACATACAGCTGAATATTCCTCCCCAGAACATGGCTTTCACATATATTTCTCACAAGAATATAAAAATATGGCCCACACGGTCATTGGACGATCTGACGTGGAAATACCCTGTTGCGCTAATGCTGAGACCAGGAGGGGTCCCTCTGTCCTTGAGACTCAAGGAGCGCCCAAGCTCCTTGAGTCTCGAAGACTTTTCAGTCTCAAGGAGCTTGGGCGCTCCTTGAGACTGAAAAGTCTAAGATCCCTTGGTACTGCTGATGCTACTGCAATATAGTGATTTGGAGCACCCGAAAACGAATTTTGGAGCACTCTGAGGCACCTCAAAATGGCTGTTGGAGCACTTTGGAGCACATATATGGGAAATTTGAAGCTTCTTTGAGCACCTTTATATCATTTTCCAACGTACTTCTGAGCATGCAGTTTTAAAACCTTATGATCACCTAAATTTAGTTAAGAGAATTTTACAATTCGCAAATCTCCTACCTACCAAGTTTTTTTTTTTCATTTGCTGTAGACAGTTTACGCCACTTTGTAATGTTGGTCTTCACAGGCATAACCACGAAAAATTTACCTTTCATAGAAATCCAACGTGAAGAATTAGAAAACAGGTATTCCTCATATTAAAAGAGTTGACACAACTGTTGATGTAACTTACGGCGCATTGCTTATTTTAAACCTTCTAAAACCTATCAAAGGCCCGTCCGTACCTTAAACCTTTTGGGTCACTCATGCAATCTGGCCCAATTTTGGCGCATTTTCATCGAGGTGGTGCAGGAAATAGCCTTTTGAGCAATATGGCACAGGAGCGGTATCGCCGCTTGGTACGGAAGTTTAGACAGCGATGGCGTCCAACGTCCCATTCGAATAACACCCATTGATGCACGGAACGTCCGTGGACCACGCACCTTCCCTGTAGTATCTGTCCAAGACAGAGATGAGGAAGAATGCACCGTAGCCATGGGCTCCGTACGGCACCTTTGCCATGGTTGCCAGGTAGTCCATGTAGAACAGCTCTGGCTGTGCGGCTTGCTTGTCGAAGCCGGCGAGCAAGAGGTTCACCGAGTATGGCGTCTGCAACGAGTTGCAACGAGCAGACGTCACGGGAAGGTCTGGAGGGAAGCACGAAGCTGCAGCCACACTGCTCGCGCGTCGTACAAAAGACGCGGCACTTGCTGCAGGCGAGATCATCCGGGGACACGCCTCAGGCATGCTTGCTCTGAACATATCTGCAGACGGTCTTCTGCACTATGTACTGGCAGTGTGACCACGGCTTAAAGGGCTATACTCCGACGCGCTCAAAGACGAAAACGACCGACTCGGGTTTTAGGGCGCAAGAGTTGGCAAGACCGGAATGCTCTGGGTGCACAAACTATGGCAGGGTAGTCGGGAATGGGGCTATGGTAGCTGGCAATGTCATAAAACCAAGAACATGGACTGTGTATAAGATGCAGACCTACCGCAACACCTCGAGAGGTGCCCCACCCGTGAAAGATAACGCAACCCCATTTTTGGCATGATATTCTATTTTTTCAAAAGCACCTCTTCTAGTAATTGTAAAGCCCTGGCCAATGGTGACCTCGGCAAAAATGGTCTTACTCAGCCATGGCGAGAGATAAGCGAACACTGCTGGGTGGGAGGACAGTCGTCTTCGGTTCGTCGCCCCTCCCTGCGATCACGAGCCTTTGCCGATAACAAACCCTAAAAACAGCATTTTTTCAAATGTTGTTTTCTAAATTGCGCATTGAGTTAGCTTGTCTTTTATTTTCACTTGATTTGCCTTTGATTTTAAATGGACTACCATTCGAATATTACGGTAAGGTCAGGATATAAATAAAAATTATGACTAAGGGCTTTTATGCGACAAAACCAATCTGGCCTTACTATAGCAGACATTATTTCAAATTATCTATGGTAGGAGGCACACATTTAGTGCAAAAGAGCTCTAACTGCAGCAAATGACCAGTTTTCTACGATAAATTCCAAAATGCTCGAAAAAAGAAAGGGAGGTTAATCTTTTTGCAAGAAAACGGGAGAAAAACAGACAATAGCATCGAAAAATATAAAAAAAACATGTTCGTCCCTGTTGGCCTAGGGATCTGCAGTGCCACAAACTGCGCAAAACCGTTCTACTCACACTGTGGAACATTGTTCCCACAAAGCAAACATAGATGCATTGAATGTGCATGGCCAATCCTCGCACACCGCAATGAAACCTCGTGATAACGGTTTTAATGGTGAATTGAAGACAACAATGCCCATCTTCGTAGTTGCCTAATGCAGTGATAAGCAGACCAAGCTATAACACAAGGAAAGCTTCAATGTTGGCAGGGAACTTTCTGCCACATCTCAAAGTGGCAATTCCTCGCAGGCCCACACGAAGAATCAACAGTAACTTTTACTTGTAATTATACTCCTCAAAGGCAACCCAAACAACTTTTGTAAATGATGCAAAAAAAAAAAAAAACTGTTTCAAAAGAAACGTGAAAGTTGCAGTGCAGGCGTCCGTTTTCGGTTTGGACATCCATCACACAGACAGCAAAGCTTTCCTCCTTGCCTCCCCACCGTCGTCTCTTCCCCCTCCTCATTTTTGGGACGATGCGGACCGACAACAGTGAACGCCTTGACAACAGCCGACACAGTGTGCGAGAGGCTGTATGGACCCACGTGACGAGCACACCCTAAGCCCCCATCCAAGGACGCAAATGGAGGGAAGCTTTTCCCCCCTGGCAAAAGAAAAAGATGTGCCAAAGCAAACCGCAACCACGTAAGAACCTCCCCGTCTGGTACGGCAAATGCTGCGACTGCAGAAAACGTGTCCTGCCTCGACATCCCTTCACACCTCTTTTAACTTTATCAAAATCCACCCAAGGCGTGCCGGGACAAACCTGGGAAGTGGAACTCACCCTGCTACGAAGGTAGTCGGCGAGGTTACGCCGAGTGAAGTTGGCTGCCGCAGTGGGAGACAGCTCGTAGCCTGCGAGAGACAACGCCGGTCAAGAGACGTCGATTGACAATTAAGTATCTGGGGATTCGATTTCAAGACGACGACAATTTTTGTCTTTTCAACACTTTTTTATAAAAGGATCCAAAAACGACTCTCAGAATCCACCGTAATAGCTCGGCAGGATGTTACGGCTGGTTCTAAAAAGGGGAGGACCCAGACTTCCGGAAGATAAAGCAAAAAAACAGTGACCGACCGTTCCGCATCTTGTAGAGTTGAATGTTCTTGGCAATAAACTCCGCAAACTGTACGGTGTCTCCGGCTTCCCCGCAGACCGCCATCAGCAGGTTGTCGCTCAGCTTGTGGATCTTGTCCTCATCTGGAAAAGGCCGTTTTGGGGTCAGCAACGGGATGGACGGATATTAATGGCTGTACCCTTTACAACAAGCAGTAGTTCGCTCCACCTAGCCTAAAATTAGGAACGCAAAAAAATGCCGGACTAGGCTGCCCTCGTGTTGGTCGTCTCTGGCAATCTTTTCGGCGAGATGGCCAGTGTTGCGAGCAACTTGGTCAAACATTTTGTGCCACCTGGGTACCCGCAAACCAAGCAGTCAACCTTCTGGCACGTGGCTCGCAAAAGTGCAGTTTCATTATATAGTCCCCATTAAGGTGAGAAGGGCAGGACGTTTCTTTAGAATGCCCGGCCTCCAGCACGCTCTCGTTGCCTTCCACCATGCTTCGGCTGCATGCGCACACTCGAGGCTCGCGACACGCCGAAGCGTTATCGAAGGCGGGAACATTAAGGTAGAGGTGGAACAACCGAAACTCCTCCCTACGATTCTCGGTCTGACAATGACTATGACCGTAAGTGTGGCAAAGGCTGGTTTTGGTCGGCAGACACATTAAAAATGGGAAATGGCCGCTGCAGCTATGGTGTTATTCGACGAGAAAATGATGACCGCGATTCGGACTGTCTCGATGCAACCCCAGCTTCGGTGTTTATGATAACATGTCGACAGTAGTGAGAGTAGGCCCTTGAACATGCACATCTTTTAGCAGGTCTCGTCTTTACGACTTGGCTGTCAAAGACCTGAAACTCAACTGTTATCTCAGTTTTAATACTGCTAATGACAACACGGCCTTCAACCTTCAACTTGTTTGCATTCTTCGACGCACAATTTTTAAAATAATAACCATCATAAGTGTGCGATCGATTAAATAATGTCTTATTTTTATGTACGGTGGCCAAACGGCAAAAGGCCTCCCTTCATTGTGCACTTTAACATCTTGTGCGACCCATTTCAACTGCTCGGACAAAGTTGCAGATATAGATTTATTGAGCCAGTTCTAGACAAGGTTACCAGGAAAAAACTACGAATATTTGTGCCCAATTCATATAAAAAAGAAAGAACACCACAAATGTAGAAATTGTAGGCCTGTATTTTAAGATATTTTACACCTTCCGATATTGTTCACAGTTCCTAAGAGCAAGGATTGTTTGAGGAACTGCACGTCATAGAGAAGTACAAATGAACCCCTGGCACAACGCTAGAAAGAAACAGTAGCAACACCTGTGCAAGGTAGTGAACGTTCGAAGGCTACAACCACATTTTGATAAACGAAGAAAAGCTTGCTCCCTCGAAAGGACAAAACAAAGCATTTATTCAACGCTGAAGTCACCGTTCGGAACGCCTTCAAAGATGGTGCGCACACATAGACAGAGAGGCACACAGTTGGAACACCATGTGCTAGGGAGAAGTAGACACAAAAGTGTCACAGAATCCGTTTCAGAACCTTCAAGATCGACCCAAAACTACTAGACTATCCAGGCTTGTTTTTCCATGACAAGGTCCCTGCCAAATAGAGTTGTGTTAGTTTAAAGAAAAAATGGAGCTGGCTGATGGCTGTATGTATCTAAAACCCAATCTGCCTGCATGGCTCAGAATCCCCCCCCCCCCCCCCCTCCCCCCAAATCTGGAATTTCATCAAACTCTGCATAAACCAACTTTTAGAGAAAAATGCACTACACTCCCCCAACATTGCACCAAAAACGCTTTCCAGAACAGGAGACTCCACAAACGTACGTCCAGACCAGTCCCTAAAATATGCTCCGAAAAGGAGAACGGCTTAATTGAGACACGTCAACAGGCACTTCGAACTGTTGTGTCGACTTCATACATGACACCAGTCTCCACAATGGAGAGTCTCCCACGTACGAAGAACGTCCTAGACTATGCAAGAACCTTCCACAATTAAAATGACCGCTGACAACAACACTCTTGTTGATACGATGCACAATCACAGAACCGAAGACCCACCTTGCGGAGCCCACCGCTGGTCGTCGTCTGTACATGGACGTGCTAAGCCTGGTGCACGCAGTTGCATTCAAGTGCCTCGAGTGTGCTGCATTTTCTCGTTACCGCTCAACATGCCGACGCCATCTATTGACTAGCCCCAGAATACATCCGACCTGCATGTATATTTCTATCATTGCTACGTTATAAGCGACTATTACTTGTAGATGGTGCAACGATTTTGATATTGCAAATAAAGTAAAACCTTTCGTTTAGATACGCACGGCGAAAGTGTTCCGGGTTAACCAGATAGATGGTGTCGGTGTGCAGGCGTGTTAAGCGGTTAAAGGGGAATGCAACATGCTCAAGCGCACTGAAACGCAAATGTGCGAGCCAGCCTTTAGAAACGAGGAAACCTGCCGTTAAGGTCGCCAACTTGGCAGCGAGCCAAAGACGTGCTCACACGAAACTCCACTCCCCGAGAATCTTTCCAGAACGCCACTCGAGCCTACCATAACGGACTCTAATTAACCTTCATTATTATGCACGAGACCACTGGTACCTTCCACTAAGAATAGCAGTTATATCTTTACTGCGTCCGCAGAGCTGCACTTGACAGCCTGGAGGATAACTTACTCGACGCACTTCCAGGGATTGCGTGGAAGCAACATACCTTGAACTGGCCGACTGCGGATCAAATAATGCTTACACCGCCGCTAAACTCTGAGGTAAAAGGTAATGGCAATCTAGGTCGTGCTAGCCAAAATCGTCAGTGAGCAAGTTACACATCTGTACTCGTAACATCACAGTGCACCGGCCAAGGTAATATCCAGGGTAGTGTAGAACCTACTTTATGCTGCGGGTGTTAATCAGAATGAACGCGACAAAAAAGGTATCAGAACATGTAACACTTGAATGCTGGGGGGAAAGAGAAAAAATTTGCTTTTAATTGCACTCACCGGGTGTGCATTTCTTTTCAGAAATATCGGTGGAATCGGTCAACTACGGGCTAGGATGCTCTGCCGCCACAGCCCGCCAAGCAAGGCACTTACGCTCACTTTGCGCCCAAAGGCGGCAACCACAACAAACCGCTCGACAATAAGGCGACGTCGAGCCAAGGCCACGGATACTCTGAATGGACGGAGTCTACTGTCGAAAAAGAGGCACGAAATGCTTCCTCGCCGGAAGGCTGCATCGCCTCCCCCATCTTTGGTCCTTCGCTGCTCCACGCAGAATCGCCCCCTCCCAAAGAGCCAACGCGTCAGAACATGTGGTATCACATCAGGGCACAAAAACAGCACTGTCAAATTGGTGTGAGCTTGACTAAGGAACAAACAAGAATGTTAAAAGGCATCCGAAAAAGTCGAGTCTGCCCAGCTGTTTTCGAAACTCTCCCCGTCCCCATCTGAATGAAACCAAATGCTTGGATAAAGAAATGTAACGGAGCACGGGAAAGAATCGCCACACATGACAAAAACGGCAGACTGAGACTTATCTTAGCACGGGCCAAACTGCCAGATCTCTAGAGCAAGCTTATCAGTGAGTCACCCTAGTGAAAATACAAGCAAGCCATGGCCACACTGTCAGCTGCGTGTGCTGCAGCTCACTCAATGCAACTACCATCGATTACCGTCGAGCAGATGCTAAAGACTTTGAAGTCAAAACAACTCACTGCACTGTTACACCAAAACATAGAGGTGCAAGGCATTATTTGTAGGCTAGGGGAATTAGTGTAGCACTGGTTCCTGCCGTACCGAAAGCGACAGTTAGGCAGCTATTTGTGATGGAGAACAACAAATAACGACAGTTTGGGCAACTGCTGTGAGCAAAATGACTGCACAATTTTTTTTATCATACAGAAGGAAACATTATTGTTACCGGGAAAAAACTGAAGTTAACCACCCCGTCAACATCAGTGGGAGGATATCCGACAGACCAGAGCGCAAGCTCGACAACTAGAAAACACTGAAATCACCCAAGTTTTGGCTTAACGGCATTTGGTCAGACGGCAACACCTCTTCTAAACGCACAAAACAAAGGTGTCAGACCTTCTGTACGGCAGGAGGACAATCTAATTCACCTTCAGGAAGAACCTACACACAGAAAAGAATTCCAAACCACAGGGCATTTGATCGGTAATAAAACACAAAACAATGCAACTGGAGGCCAACCTTACACTTTCCAACAGGCATTTGCGACGCACCGGCAAACCGCAAGACAAATCGGCAAACCACATACTCCGCGACGAACCGAGATAAGGACTCATCAATTGTCGCACACAGGCTCGAGCATAGAGATTGTTATGACCACACTTTGACGGAAGAACCAGTACAAGAGATGGGCCCTGCCCAGAGGAGACCGGACAAGCCCCGCTCGTGCCAGGCACTAAACCCAGCCTCGCAGATGGGACGAGCAAAGACGAGTCGTTATGGGCACGCTCGCAACGTCACAGTTGCAGCAGCCCAAACACTTGAGCGTGAGTTCAGAGGAGCACGCAACACCGACAGTACCGGGGCTGTCCGGCCACGCCTGCGACGCCGTTCTCGTCCGGAGCGCTGGCAGGCTGCGCCAGTGGTGGGAAGTATGTGTGGATCCTCAGCCCAGGCTTGCGCGTGTTGAACTTGCCCACCGCCTCCCTGGTGATCAGCTGACAGTCGTAGAGGTCCACCCTCTTGAGTGCGGGACACCTGACCAGGTGCTCCAGCGAGGCCTCCGAGACGGACGGGCAGTTGTCCAGCTCGAGCACGGTTAGTCGCTCCAGGCCTACGGAGAGGTGCCGGATGCCTTCGTCCGTCAGCAGCTCGCAGTGGGACAAGCTGAGGCGCTCGAGCCGCGGGCAGAAGCCCGCCAGGTGGCTAAGCGTGCTGTCCGTGATGTGCAAGCACTCCTCCAGGTCCATACGTTCCAGCTGCGGACATGCGCGTGCCAGCGACTGGAAGCCCGCATCCGTCAGCCTCGAGCAGCAGGCCACCTCTAGGGTCTTGAGCCCGTGGCAGTACTGGGCGATGGCGTACAGCGAAGCGTCTGTCACCTGTCCACAGTTGGAGAGGCAGACGTATGCAAGGTCGGGGCAGCGTGCCGCCAGCTCCGCAACCCCCCTGTCCGTGACGTTGCCACACTCGAGCAGGTTGACAGCCCTCAGGCCCCTGCAGTTCTGGGCAAGCGCCTCGACGGCTGCGTCGTTGACGCCAGGACAGCCCTTCGCCACGAAAGACTTGAGCCTGGGGCACCCGCGAGCGACCACTCGAACGCCCTCTGGGGTGACCTGGGAGCACCAGGAGATGTCCAGGGTGTCTAGGAGGGGGCAGCCCCTGGCAAGTGCCCGTAGAGCCCGGTCGGTGAGCTGGGAGCATGAGCTGACGTCGAGGCGCGCCAGTTTGCCGCAGTTGGCGCTGATGCTCTCTAGCGTCGCGTCCGAGATGCGACGACAGCCGCTTAGCGTCAATGCCTCGATGTTGCGACAGCGGATCGCGAACGCCTGCATGGCCACGTCGCCGACGCTCTGACAGCCCCGGAGGCCGAGCTGGCGTAGGAAGCCGCCACACCGCATCGCTATGTTCTGAACGACGGGACCCTCGACGTCGCGCTGGAACTCGAACAAGTCGATCTCTTGCCAGTTGCTGCCGTCCAGAGCCAGCACGTTCCATGCTTTGGAGACCTGGGCACTCCGGCATAGCGACACGACGTCGAGAAACGAGAAGATCTTGAGCAGGAGCTCCTTGGGGAGCTTCCTGTCGATCAGAGCGTCCGACTCGGCGCTCACGACGACGTTGTTGGCGTCGCCGCCCGCCTTCGGGTCCGGCAGCCGAGCTTTGTTGTGCGGCAGGTGCATAGCGCGGCGCAGTTCGCTCACCAAGGCTCGCATCGGCCCGCTGGTCGCCCGAGACTTCTTTTGTGTGGAAGGGGACGTCTCGCTTTTTCCCCCCACCACCGCCGCGAAGGTTCGACAACGTTGGGTTCGACGACACCGCTTGTCGTCAACACATCGCCATGTTTGTGGCGGCGACAGACGGCCAAGATTACTGCTGCGTCACGCCAGAAACGCGTCCACGCCAAACAAATGGAATCGCTACGGCGCCAACCACCAGGTGCGCGGCAAACGGAAACAACGCTTCTAGAAACGCTGATAGTGCAGCGCACCGAACTATAAAAAAGAAAGCAATTAGAAATTCCTGAACGTATTCAAAATATTAAAAATATTGAGATTAATGTACCTGTTTTCTCTTTAACTCATGACAATAATTGTTTTTGTATACGTATTTTATATATTGACCTCAAATCATGGCTCGAGAGAAACCCCACTTGGTCGAAACGAATTTTAATATAAATTAAATTCGTTACAGAAAATACATTCCTCACCAATAAAATAACGTATATTATTTTAAGACACGAGTTTCCTCACTTCACGACGACTTCCCTGAATTTTGCGATCATCCTGCGAACAAATTCAGATAGTAGAGGAGTAAGTCGCCTCACTATATTTCATTCACTACGAGTGCGTTCAATAGTTCCCTGCCAACTCGAACACCTCTACACGCATCCCAACAAAATTATACTATGACGTCACACACACCTCCAACCCTACCAAAGAGCATTGTCAGAGTTACCCAGAGTAACACGATAAAACCCTCCCACACCGCAGTTCCAAGAGGGTGCGCCTCGGGCGCAAACGTAGTTTCCGCATCTTTCTTCATTGTCGAAACTCATTGATCAGGCATTTCATAGGAAAGGTGATATTTATCACCGCGGTTGCTAAATAAACGCCTTAGTTCTTGAGATCGCGGGGACGCTAGGCTTTCCTCACACATGCGCCAACAAAAACCCCTAGAAACGAGTGCAAACCACAGGAGATACCCCAGCGGCAAACCGGTAGATTCGAAATTTCAAGTCATTGCGATCGCATAAGTGGTGAATAGGTCAAACGCTTTGAAACACCAGTTTAGCGGCTACATTCCAGAACGATTAGAGCACCAAGAATCGTCCTACAAGGGGCCACGGAAAGCATTTGAAGATTGGCTTCAAAACAGCAAACTCACCGTGCTTCAGTACAATAATGCTGTACCCGGACGTTTTGTCGGCCGCCAGAAGTGCAAAGTCCTTGAAGACGACTCCCATTAGACACTCCATCTCTAACGAAAAGGGCGTGGATTCGAAATCCTCTCTGCTTTATCCGGAAAATATCACTGTTCACTTGCCGAGAAGACAACCCGCACACCGCACAGCGAAGAGTAGTGTTTCGTCACTGATCAGTGTGTTTCGTCGTTTTGCTACCGGAACCGGAAGCAACAAAAGTCAAATGAGCCTCAAAATAAAATCACTTTTACAATTAAGTTTTTTATAATTTTATAGCACTGTTTTATAACTTGTGTAAAGTTATACGCTAAGTTTGTGCGCGTTATATTTTTATGCTTGATAGCGTTCGGTTACTGTACCAACGGCTACTAGCGACCCCTCCCGAGTTGGCAGCCCTCGCGTTTCGAAACCGAAACTAATACAGTGCCCAACAAGTTTTTGGTTCGGTCTTTTTTTTACAGACACATTTCGATTTCATTTAATCGAATATATCAAACCTTGGTACACTTTTACCCTGATGAAACTTGTTTGACTTAGAGCTTGGTTACAATGAACGTCGAATATTTACTTTAAGGATTCAACAAATTTGAAAAAAGATTCCGAATTATTAAGAAATACCTCGTACCTGTTCCAGTATCGTAGCATGCCAAGGCCGTCGCGGCGTGTACATCGTTTTAATAAAACATGGTGCCATACACAAAGAAAAAATAATAATCATAATTACGATTTGTCAATTTATTGGAGCCAAATTCGGGATTTTTTTTTTTCTTTTTATAAAAAACGCTATGAAAGAAAACGAAATTTTTTGTGACCACAAAATACGCTGATGGGGAGCGCGTGCACCGAACTGATCGGACGCACTTTTCCTTGCTCTGGGCATTTTCGATTATTTTAGTCATCAGTCGCAACTACGAACCACCGGCTGCAATTTACAGCAGCGCGGGTTACTTCGAGTAACCCGGCACATGACATGACCTTCCAACCCGGTGCAAACGTACTGGAATCAGCGACCAACCTTCCTTCGTGCTCCCAGCAGACTCCTGCTAGGAGGGACCACACATACAATGCAGCTCAAGACACTCAGACTGGACACTCGACCCTTGGAAAACGTCGCAACGACGGGGACGGTGAGCCTGCGGACTTGCTGGCGACTCCTGCCAAACTGCAAGCACCACCGGGTGACTCAATGGAGGAAGACTTAATTGAAGGTGACCTAGAGGGCTTCGTTCTTGCCTCACATCGCCGACAAAGAACAACAGGTATCCCTGTACTCCTTACACCGGTCAATGAGGAGCATCGTCTGCAGCGACAAAATCCACTGACCTTGAGTACCGAGGTGAACGAAGCAGCAGCTGCAGCCATTTTGCGACATCGCTTCACAAATAGAGGTGGCCTTATGGTGGAGGTTGCTGAAACCACCACAGTCGACCGACTCCTGAAACTTCGCCTTCTCGGTGGGGTTCCCATCAAAGCCACAGTGCCGAGGACTTACCTACAGAATGGTGGTCTTGTCAAGGGAGTGCCTCTTTGGCATACCGATGCCGACATAACATCATTTCTGCAACAAGACGGAGTTATTGCAGCCCGCCGCTTATATCGACGTCAAGGAAAGTCCGGAGAAGCTGCGCAACCAACAGACCGTGTAGTCCTGACCTTTCGCCCAAATACAGACCGCCCAGTCCGAGTAAATCTCGGATTTACAAAACATGACGTAACAGAGTTTATTGAAGCTCCAACCAGATGCTACAACTGCCAAGCACTTGGTCATGTCGCTAAATATTGCAAAGGTGCCGCAAAATGCAAGAAATGCGCCCAGCAACATTCCACCAAAGACTGCAAGGGCGAAGCACCATTCAAGTGCGCCAACTGCGGCGGAGATCACCCAGCAAGCTACGTCAATTGTAAAGCGCGGCTGACGGCTCTTGCAAGAACCAAGAGATTCGTCCATGGCCCGAAAGTTGCGCCGTCAACAAATGAGGCAGAGGTCCCTCAAGGCCCCTGGCCTCCTCTTGAATCATCCACCGCCGACCTTCAAGCAACACAATTGACACGGTGTCCCCTGCGTTAAACATCAAGGACTCACCCCCCAAGGGTAAAGGCAAGAAGTCTCGATCTGCTGCGAAATCCACCCTTATGGCCAACCAATGGCCCCCTCGTGACCCCGCACCCGCTTCAGGAGAGCTCAACGCATCAGGCGTACCTCCTAGCACTGCAGGTACGCGCCCACACAGCAAAACCTCCGCTGTAGTCCTGCCTCGCCAGCAACAGGTTCCCTCTGTCTTTGGCGCAATGACAATAGGTGACATCATACGCATTATATTCTCCGTCCTTCGAGGTCTCACGACCCAACTGCCGCCATGCACATTCAAAGACATCTTGCAGAGAATCATGGCATTCGAACCGGCAGTTATTGCAATGACCGGAAGTTCACACCAGGGTACTGGATGATTCCTCATTTGATGAAAGAGTCAAAGGAGCGACCGTTTTTCAATGGAACGCGAGAGGGCTTAGTGCCCGCCTTTCAGACTTCCGACAATTCACATTCAAACATAAGTTCCCAATTTTAGCTATTAGCGAATCGCGTGTAGCATCAGACTTCCGGCTTTCAGGTTACGAAGTATTTCAATCAGCTCGTCCCTCTAACGCCAGTCGGGTTCTCCTTGCCTTACGAAAAGACTTGACATATGTTTCCCATAATATCACATCACATCAAGACAATGAGTACGTCGGCGTTACTGTTCGCAAGGGCAAACTAACTTTTACTGTAATCGCTGCCTATATAGCTCCAGCTTGCAATTTTGATGCTACGCGACTTCATGATATTATTCAACAATGTAACTCGCCAGTTTTGGTTGTTGGCGACTTCAACGCCCATAATATAGCTTGGGGTAGTGTAAGAACTACACGTCGGGGTCGTGAACTACTTGAGCTGGCAGATTCTCATGACCTATGTCTTCTAAACGACGGTTCTCCTACATTCATCCGAGGCAGTCACTGTAGCAGTTGTTTAGATATTGCCTTCATGTCACGCGAACTCGTAACTCGAAATTCCTGGTTTGTTGACGTAGAGAGTCATGGTAGTGACCACATCCCTACCTACATCACAGTACGCGGCTTCCAAGCTGATAGAGCCAGACATGATCGAACCTCATATATAGACTGGACATGCTTTCGGGAGAGTGTCGAACAGCGCATACATATGACAACGACCTACGAAGAGTTTGTTTCAGTCATGAATCAATCAGCAACAGAAGCAACCAGGACAGTCAATCTTTCGGCCTCACGAACTGTTGTAGATTCAGAGTATGAAAAACTTCGAGCTATTCGCCGAAGGGCTGAGCGACGCGCACGTCGAACTAAACTACAAGCTGACATTAGGGAAGACAGGCGCACACAAAAACATATTCGCCGTCATTTAGATAAACTCGGACAAAAGAAATGGAGGGGAACCTGTGCGTCATTTGATCCCCGTGCTCCCCTCTCAAAAATATGGCATATTGCACGCGGGTTAAGATTTCCACCACAACAGAGAATGCCTTTTCACGCGATATCACTTTTCCTAAGACGCTCGCAATTGCACATTGCTGAGGAATTCTGCGCATCTCTTGTCCTATCAGCAGTGAGTGACAGTGATATCTCAGATATAGAGCATCAAGCCTCAGTTACTCCATTTTCACGTTACATGGATGATGTATTTAATGCCCCGGAATTGGATCAAGTTCTAGCTTCCCTCAGTCATTCTTCTTCTCCAGGTTCAGATAACATAACCTATGGCACACTCGCTCATTTGGGGCTTGACGCTCGCCAGCGTTTGTTGGACATATTCAACACTTCGTGGACAAGCGGCAATATACCACCTGACTGGAAAACGGCCTGCGTTGTGCCCATCCTTAAACCGGGCAAGTCCCCTCTGGATTTAAAGTCTTACCGACCAATCGCTCTAACAAGCTGTGTCAGCAAATGTATGGAGCGATTAGTTCTATCACGGATTGAATGGCTTCTTGAATCGCAATAGATATATCCAGCTACCATGACAGGATTTAGACAGGGTCGTAGCTCCATTGATAATGTCGTAGACCTTGTAACTCATGTTGACGACAAGAAGCTTCGCGGGAAAATTACAGTAGCTGTATTTCTTGATGTCTGCGGAGCTTTTGATAATATCAAACATTCGGCAGTCTTACGGGGACTCCAATCTATCGGAATTGGCGGTCGTCTTTATGCATGGATATCTGACTACCTTAATAATCGAACGATCTACATGCGCACAAAGGAAGGGGAAACTTCTCGTCACAGAGTGACCAAAGGAGTGCCTCAGGGGGGTGTTCTAAGCCCGGTCCTCTTTAACATTGCTCTCATTGGGATCACCGAAATTCTCACAAGAGCTGTACACCTTACAGTCTACGCAGACGACATTTGCCTCTGGACGTCTGCAGGCTCACCTAAGCTCGTACATGCACGCCTACAAGATGCGCTGTCCAAAATTTCTCAGTTCCTTCACACACGGGGGCTTGAGATTGCGCCAGCAAAATCAACTGCCGTGGCCTTTACACAGATGAAGATGACACGATATCCACTTTCCATTAATGGAACCCCAATCCCATATGCGCCGAATCACATATTTCTTGGCGTTTCCATTGACAAAGGCTTAACTTGGAACTCCCAACTGAAACACCTAAAGACTAAGTTGTCCGCATTCACAAGTTTGGGGCGATTTATAAGTGGTACAACTTGGGGGACGTCTACCTCTGCTCTTCTTCGTTTATACAACAGCCTGTTTGTTGGCATCCTTCGCTATAGCTTGCCTGTTATGCACGGCTTAAGTCTGACCAACATGAAAGCACTCCAATCGCTCCAGGCCCAGGCACTCAGAGTATGCCTTGGGGTACCGCGAGCAACCGCGACCATAGACACGATTGCAGAATCTCATTGTCTACCTTTGAAAGCTCTGCGTACCCAAGAAACTCTACGACTACATATGCGACATCTGACACGGCATCACTCTCATCATCTAGCTGACATTCCGGATAGTTGTTTTTACAGCCGCATCTCTCAAACTATAATTGACAACAAGGATGTCCTTCCAACAGTGTTTCAAGATCCTGTGGTACTCAATACACCACCCTGGTCACTGCCTCCACTTCTAATCTACAAGACTATTCCTGGAATAACAAAAAAATCGACGCTCTCTTCAGTTGTCCTTCGGCAGCTTTTTTTGTCTTTATTGTACACACGGCACCGTTCTTCTTGCCACATATATACCGATGCATCAACTACGCATAACGGGTCATCGATTGGACTGGCTGCCCCAGTGCTTCATATCAAAGCTGGTTACAAGCTGTCCCACAAGACCTCATCTACGGCTGCTGAACTGGTGGCCATTCGAGAGGGGCTCCAACAGATTAAAAAAGCATCACCTCGCGCTTGGACGATCATGAGCGATTCACAGTCTGCCCTCCAGTCGCTTCAGTGTCTACGTAAAAATAGTCCAAACACACAAGTAATTTTAGACATATTTAAAGTTCACTCAGAAATCGTTTCCCTTGGCCACTCCGTATCATTCCAGTGGGTGCCCAGTCACTGTGGTGTCATGGGTAACGAAATGGCTGACTCTATGGCTGCAAAGGCTCACGAATCTGCCCAAAAAGTCCTAGCTCCATTTACAAAATCGGACGTCTGTTCAAGAGTGGCGATATTGGGGAAATCGGCCGCAACGAGCCTCTGGAAAGAGGATATCAACCAAAGTTCCTCTCTAAAAAATATTGACCCGCACTTACGGTTTCGAGTACCTCGAGGCCTGAAGAGACGACGGGAAGCGGTTCTCCATAGGATTCGGCTAAAGGTCGCCTGCACTAACTATTACCTTCATCTTATTGGGAAATTAAAGTCCCCAAACTGCTCCGTATGTGGAACTGTCGAAGATATTCAACACATTTTACTTCAATGTACAAGTTATGATGATCAGCGAAAACAATTTTTACAAGACATTAGGAAGACTCCGGGACCACCCCTTACAATACAGCACTTCCTGGGGCCATGGAACAGCGAAGACTGTGCTTTAAACACCACAAAGGCCCTCCTCCGTTTTCTTTCAGCAACAGGCCTGGATAAGAGACTCTAATGCTATGTACTGAACTCTCTTGTCCAAATGGTTGTGTGTGTGTTATGTGTGATTATGTCTCTTTTGTTCTTTATGTTTCTTTTCCTCTTTCCTAACTCTGTTATATCCCTTACCCCTTTCCCACCAGAGTAGCCAGTCAGGAGTTTGTACTCCCGGCTAACATCTCTGATTTCCTTTTATTGCATCAATAAAAAAAAAAAAAAACGCTGTTGAATGAAAAGAAAATGCACTGATCTAGGTATACAGGGATCATCAGACAGAACATACCCAGTTCTAGGATAACATTACCACAAACAAAACAAAAAATTACAAATTTTAAAATTAAAGGCTTGTGCCACCGGAGGTGACACTCTGGTGGTTCGTGGAGTCATCATGGCGAAATTTGATCAAACGTAAAGGTTCTGACCTGATATGTTACGTTTGAACGAATTTAATGGTTCCAAACCTGATATTCCTCACCTAGCCGCGTGAAAACTGAAAGCTGACTCCTCGCCAGTTTGAAAACCCACGTTGCGTGTGTACAAAACACGTGCACTAGCTATAACTGCTCGTCATTTCGTGCTTAAGATTTGTAATTCGCATTAGTCTTATTTATTGTTTACTGATCTTGCGCCGCTTGCCATTAGTTTAAGCCGGAGACGATAGCGAACGCGCGAAAGCACACCAGTACCGTGACGATGCAATTTTGTCGGTGCCCGATTGGCGACATCGGAGTGTGGCGTCGACTGCGCAAGCCATCTGCCTAAGCCTTTATTTCGAACTCTTCGTAATGATTCTAAATCAACATTGTAACTTTCTCTTTCTTTTTTTATGGCAGTTGCTACCCCTACGCTGACAGTCAGGTGGTATCTACGCGGTTGCCGGACGGACGAACCGCCTCCCTTTCATTGCGTTACCCAGGCTTGCTTCTTTGCGTGGGCGCGGGCGGGAACGGAACCACGTGGTTAAAGATAGGCGCACCATTGGTCCAACGACCGCACGTAACTTCCCCTGCACTGTCAGCTTAGAGGGGGTAAACGGACTGTCATCGAGGGATGAGGCCACAAATGGTCCTGCTCCCTTCCCCCGATCGAAACTGCAGCGAGAGAAAACACAGTGGTATTAACAGCTGGTGAAAACAATCCCATACATGGGGCATTTCCGTCGCTGAAATTATAGCGCCATCCGAACACCTCACTCACGCAGCTGCCCGGCCACAAACAACCTTGTTACGAGACGCATCTATATCCTCGGATTATTCCTCCTTTCGGTACGTTATTTATAAGCAGTCTTGGGTAAGTTACTTTTAAAAAGTAATTCGTTACAGTTACTTTCAGAAAAAAGTAGCGAAGTTACCGTTACAGTTACCGTAACAAAAGAGTAAATGGTTAGAGTTACAGTTACTTTTAAAAAGTAACGACGTTACTTTTCAGTTACTTTTCTATAACACAAAAAACAGGAAAAACTAGAAAATGCCCCTCACCAAGTTTTTTTGCATAAAATTAAAAAGTACGCTTTTTACTTCATATTGTAACTTAGCAGAAGTTGCTTCTCGAAATTAGTGTTTGAAAATTTCCACGTCAGAGTAGTGGCGCCAATAAAAATACGAAACATGCGCCGTGCCCTCCGCGTGTATTGTTGTTTCACGGTTGATGCACCCGTTTAAAAAGCGTTTTCACAGAAAAAAGAAAAACCACAGCATAGATAGTGCTTCAAGACACTAAGATGCAAGTGTTCAGTCACAAAGTACAAGCGCGTGCGTAAAGATAACTAGATTTTCTTCTTCCATGAAATCTACTCGTGGCTATATTCGGGTCGTGACTCGTGAGAAAGAACGTATTTATAAGTTTCTGCAAGGCCAATCTAACACTCGAAATGTCGGAATAGACGATTTGAAAAGTGCAAGGAATATCTAAATTGTACTCGTTCAGTAAAGTATTATTAATAAAACACTGGAAAGTAACGACAAAAGTAACGTCGTTACTTTTATCGTTACCTTAAAAAATGCAATAGAACCACAGTTACAAGTTACATTTTAAAAAAGTAACTCGTTACAGTTACAAGTTACCGAAAAAGTAACGAAATTACAGTAACGCGTTATTAGTAACGCGTTACTACCGAAGACTGTTTATAAGTTATATTCGCTAAATATCATACTAAGGAATGTCAGTTGCCATCATTAAAAATTATAAAATACAATGTAGCCAAGCACGAGTGTTCTCAATCGAAATGAATTTACCCGCTGCATTTGAACACACAAATAAGCAGTATAGTTTTTGCAGCGAAGCCGACCTGCGGAAACTGCGTTTGGCCGTTCAGAGAACGTGGGAGTGATTTCGATCAGTTCTTGAGAAGATACAGCAAGAAAAGGGGGAAATCGCATCAAGCCAATTGAAAGTTCATATGATCGACAGCAATAATAAAAAAAAAATTGAACGAAATAATAAATGGCCTTTTTGGATAAAGTGGGTTCAAAATGTTAATTAATTTCATTTTCGACGATATTTCAAATTTTATATAAAAAATTCAGTGAAAATATAATAGACTAAACTTATGCCCGTCGATAGCCCATGTATAGGGCTACACCCGCATAGTATTTGGTAAGCGACAAATATAATAACTCATTAGTTACAAGGCTCTGAAGTTGTCACCGCATTGTCACGTGGGAGCGATTTCGATCACTTCTAGAGAAGATACAACAAAAAAAAAGGAAATCGCACCAAGCCAATTGAAAGTTCATATGATCGGCAGCATTAATAAAAAAATTTAACGAAATAAAAAAATGGCCTTTTTCGATAAAGTGGGTTCAAAATATTGGTCAAGTTCATTTTCGACGATATTTCGAATTTTATATAAAAAATTCAGTGAAAATAAAATAAAATAAACTTATGCCCGTAGATAGCTCATGTATAGGGCTACACCCGCATAGTATTTAATAAGTGACAAATATAATAACTCATGAGTTACAAGGCTCTGAAGATGTCACTGGATTGTCAAAGAGACGATGTTTGGCATTTTTTACCTCAATAAACAAAAATACAAAAGTATTGTCCTTTAAACTAAAAAGTAGTCCAAATAACATACAAAAGCACAAAAAAGTACTGCGAGTTTTGTATGCTTCCCGTATTCGTACCTGCGTACAGAAGTGGGTAGAAAAATCACGGAGTAAAAAACAGATTTTCACCCTGCTCCACTCAATAATATTTTCTGAAGCGAAATATTAAAAAGAAAAATTCAAAAGCGGTTTTGTTCTTTACATAAATTGGGCAATTACATATATTTTTTTTTTTTTCAGAAAAAAAATCGAAAGACCCACCTCGACAAGCGTGTTCGATTTCAAATGAAACCACCCGCATATATTTTTTAGCAGTGTAAGCTGTTATTTATCCTGCCTCTACCAAATCTACAGCAAACATATCGCCCATCGGTGTAAGCTCGAAGTTGGAACGTTATTCCAGGTCGCCAATGTGTAACGTCAGCGTGCTCGTGACCGGAGGCGCGGGTTACGTGGGAAGTCACGTCATCGTCGAACTTCTCGGCGCCGGATGTGACGTCGTGGTGGCAGACAATTTCCACAACTCTCGTCCCGGTAAGTTTTGTATATAGTTATGCATATTTTTGTATACTCTTGTATGCATTACAGGACCCGCGGCGCTATCCTACTCCGCGCAGGACATGTCCAAGATTTTACTTAGACTCTACAGCACACAAGAACAACTCACACTGAATGACGCACACCCACAGAAAGGAACCGCTGATTGGTGGACATCTTGTCAATACATTATGCAGTCTAGTAAAGTACGCCGGTAGGCTAGCTGGCGCATTTTCGGTACAAATAAAATAGCGCTGATTAGACATAGACAGGCGACAGGGCAACCCCTAGACTTTTCCGCCTTTTAGCAGATTCGTGTACCGTTCTTGCAGTACAAGACATACGTGAAGCGCCCTTAACTGCACCTTTTCAATCAGCGTGCGTCATTTTACGGCTACGAGGCATCAGATGAACCTTTCAGACGTCTACAAGTCGTCTAAACGTCTATAGACACACACGACGTTCATTGCAAGCGTACGATGCGAGTGGGGAAACAGGATAAAACACAGATATAAATAGGATTTTTGTCAATCAATTTCAGTTGCGTTTCAGAGTCCTGTTCTTCCTTTCCTTCATTGTCGTCTTTCTCCTAGTCTCAGGGTTATCGTTCATCATTTTTAATCATCACCTCCTCGTTTGCACCCTAACATTCTGTTTACAAGTGCAAGCAAGCGAAATTGTATTTGGCAGAGGAATGCTTATCCGCACAGCTTAGATTCCGAATCTGTGAACGTCGGTTAGAGAGTCATGACACGATCCCGTGTCGGGAGAAGCATGTGGAGTAATTGTCAATGCAGAGGGCAAGTCGTCTGCTTCTTGCGGAAGAGTCGCTGTGACGTCAAAAAGACGCCGCGCTCTGATTGGCTCTGATTAAAGGATAGTGGGTAGACCACAAAGCAAGCTGCCTCGAGGTCTACCCACTATCTTTCATTCAGAACCAATCAGTGCTCGCCGTTCTGACGTCAAAAAAATACCCCTGCAAAAGAAGCAGACGAACTAGCGGTTCGCATAGGGCCTATTCCGCTACCCTGATTGGCGCATTTTCATGGACGTCACATCGCCTGGTCTACGGGAGGCGAGAGAGGAGGGGAGGCGGGGACGAGGCTCAGGTAAACACCCCTCAGTGATTCACGCGCTAGCCTTTAGCCAGATTTGCTTACCCGATAAGCGTGAGCAAGTCTGGGGGTTTGCTAAAGGTTAACGCGTGAATCACTGAGACGTGTTCACCTAAGCCTCGTCCCCGCTCATTGTTTTCAGGTAAAGTGACGTCCTTGAAAACCTGCCAATCACAGCGCCGAAATGGGCCTGTTCATTGACTCCACAAGCTCTTCCGAATACGCGACACGACCTGGCTTTCTCTGTCGGTTGATTGCAGGTCAAGATGGCGACATGCCTGAGAGTTTGCGCAGAGTTCAACAAATAACGGGGAGGGAGGTCACTTTCCACCGCGTCGACCTGCTGGACGAGGATGCCGTCGACGCAGTCTTCAGTCAAGTAAGCCTACTTCCCCGAGATTATAGAATGTGACTAAAACGACAGGAAGGAAATTTCAATCGTCCAGCCACCAAGCAAGATCGCCTCTGTCACTATCCTGGTTGCGTGTGCACAGTCGAAGCAGACGCGCGACGCAAGCAGGAAGAAATGTGACGACTGATAATGACCTCGATTAGGTTTACGAAGTAAACCCCCAAACGATAGATGGCGCAACCTTTCCAGTCCTTCCACTCTGGCTTGTCGACTTGCGGCCGGCCATTACTTTATTCCCACCATAAAGCTTCGCAGGTCTTCCTTCTTCACAGAAATAAAAAAGCTGGATTTCTTCTTTTTTTTTTTTTTTTTACGCAGAATAAACGACGCATTGCCGAACGCTTTTTGTCCGCCCAAATTAGCTCCAAACGGCATTCAAAAGTTATAATTTTCTAAAAAAAAAAAAAAAAAAGATTAATAGGAGAGTGGGCGCGCACTTCCTGGCGCGCCACTCAGCTGGCTCATATGTGTACGAGTGTTCCGCCCCTCCTTGGTTCCGCCGGTGAAACTGGCATCTGATGCGAACCGCTAGCGCTATATTTGGGCGGAAAAAAAATGAGCTTTCAGTAATGCGCAATGTATTTTTGCGGTAAAAAAATAAGATAGAAAAAAAAGCGAATGTTTTAGCAGGATAAAGATCTCCCGCATGTGCAGTAAAAGGGGAGCTCCGACAAAATTTTGTTGG